CTTAAATTAAAATAAACATAACAACGCATAAATTAGCTTAAGAAAGCGAGATGATTGTTCCGCACAAGACCTATAAACCCTATACGGCTGTTCACCGGAAATTCTCTGTGAATATGATGGTAATAATATAATATAATTACAATATAATAACAATAATAATAATAATTATAAATTATAATATAGTAATATGATAATAGGTCAACTGCACACGCTAAATTTCGTCTTAATATTTTTTTTCATTGATTATTACGAGCATTTTACAATAAAATTACATACGAATATATTATCTTCTAGACTTCATTCGTTTAACCGACAGGGAGCCTACAAAGCAGGGGATAACACATTATAATCGATTGGGTCTACGGAGTACATCGAATATAACCAAAGTAAATTTTAACTACACTTAAATTAAAATAACTTAAACCATCTAAAGCATCTAATATTTACAATTTTTGTATAAAAACCAAAGGGTAGCGTAGTTGTGTACGGTATGGGAAAAATCCGACATTTTCAATTAATTATGAATTTCGAATGTTGAAACACTGGTTTTTGATTCTTTTGTGCGCGTGTAAAAAAAAAAATATTAACTAGTTAAAATAATATAGTTTTTAAAATAAAACAAATATATTTTTATAATATACAGGATGTCTTATAGTGTTATCCTTATGTTAATAATTCTGTCAGTATTCATGTATTTTTTACATTTTTTTTTTTTTAATTGAGTTTTACTCGAGGAGGTCGTATATGTAGAGTAAAATTGCATGTTTATTTCCATCCATTAATTATTGAAAAAAAATTGTATTTTATCACACTATAACCATTTCGTAAACAATTATATTGTTCTAAAAATTTATATGTAACATACATTCATTTCCGATCAACAGTTTCTTAGTTAAAATAGGCGTGAAAACAGTTAATATTCAATAGAAGGAGTTACCGTGCTAATTGTGATTCATTATATGGTGTTATTCTATTGAAAATGTATCGTTTGCACACTGATTTTCTAGAAATTAAAACGGCTATTACTAAGAAACTATTGATCGGACATAAATGTATGTCAAATTAAAATGTTTAAAATAATATTCTTTACTAAATGGCTATTTTAAAAATTTTGAAAACTGATAAAATAAAAAGTTATTTATTTTTTTAAATAATTTAAGGATGAGAATAATAATTTAATTTTTCTCTACATATTATTGTACATATATATTATACTCCACTCACACGAAACCCGATTGAAAAAAAAAAAGAATACTGACAGAATTATTAGCATTAAAATAACACTGTAGAACACTCTGTATAGGTAAATATAAAAAATATCCGATACTGTTGGTGATCGATGGATGTGCTACTGTTGTACCTAATGGGTGGAAAGTTGAGAAGGTATAAGATTTTTATAGATATATTGAATTTAAATGTATACTCAATGATAAATCGGTGCTAACGAATTACAATTATAGATGAAGTTTGGTTATGCATGTTTTGAAATGCAATAGTTTGTACCATTTTCTTCAAAATTTGACCTTAAAACGATTATAAAAAAAATACTATACTTCGCACGATGGGTGAGCCACTGTTAGAAGTTAAGAGTTAAGTTAAGTTACGCAACGATTTACCATTACTAACGAAAAACGTTTCTGGGCGAAGTCCGGTTAATAGTGTTGCATTGTCAACAATATATATGTCATTATATTATAATTTCATATGCATTACATATTTTTTTTAATAAAATTTCTTTAATATTATACTTATTTTCTTGTTTTATCCTACGTTTTTTTCCGTTTTTTTTCCCCCATTTAGTGAGAAAACTCCTAAGAAAATAAAAAAAATGACCTCCCTAATGTACCACCGAAGTTAGATTTTCTTTCAGAGAAAGTGCTATAATTGAAAATCGGAATAAAAATTCTGGTGAAAAAGTTGCTCAGAGGAAAAATAAGCCGTAATATTTTACTAATACATTTCGTACATTTTCCCGTTTTTCCCCGGTGTTTCTAACGGGAAAACTCTTGGGAAAATTAAAAAATAACCTCTTTAAATTACCACTCCGGGAAAATTCTATTTCAGAAAAGGTGCTATATACTTGATACTTTAGAAGAAAGATTTCTGGTACAATTTTTGTACACAGTATAAAACAATTTTAAAAAACAACATAATAAACATCATTATAAAACCAATACTTGCTCCACTAAGAATTTAAAAAATTTTCACATTTATGATCGGCCGAAAAATTTGATGCATGAAAAACTAAAAAATCACTTTTAGAAAAGACTTATATAATAACGCTGTGAAAATTTCACGTTTCAACATATATATAACCGAATTACAACAAAAACAATCGAAAATAATAAAAATCATTATTTCCTTACATTTTTCCGTTTTTCCCTGTTATTAAAAAAAACTACAACGCAAATAAAAAAATATTTCTCCAATGCACTAATAAGATCTAATTAGACTTTGTTAATTAGATTAACATTTTTAAATGCTACAAAAAAGGCTTCACTTTGTTTTTTGATTGGGACATGATTTCTGGTAGAAAAGTTGATCACAGACAAACACACACGCAAAAGCACATATCTTAGTAGAACAAATACATCCATTGCTGCCCTCAAAATGTAAAAAACATTCATGATGAAACATGATGTTTTGAAGAATCCGTTATGTTACGTGTAAAATCGTATTAATACTCGGTAATTTTGATATTCATGAACGACGGCGGTCTATATATAAGTACCTACGTGATTCCTAAATTTTAAAGATTTTATCTACGGAATCTATATGATCACTTATTTATTTACATACGTACCTATGCGGAGTTCTTTATAAAACGACGAAAGCCGGATGATTTCGTTTTGATAAGAATCGCCGTAGTTCTATGGAATACGAATAATAAACAAAAATCGTAAAAAATCGACCTCGTTATCAACAAATTTATTTGGTTTACGAACCGGAATATTATGTTTTTAACTTTAGAAATTCGTATTATAGCTCAAAGACAGTGATGGAATCGACATTCCGCGTTTAAATTGAGAACAAAAATTAAATACAGCTAGTGTGTTTCGGTGTAACACAAAATAGATTCCTGGCAGATTTAGATTAGAAATGAGTGGATTTTTTTTTTTAAATATCGAATTTTTTCTCAATTTGTCTACAGTTTTATCGTTGGGAGGGTTTACGATAAAACCATCCATAAATAATAACATTAACAACATATATTTAGGTTCCTATAAGTACGTTTAAATTTTTTTTTTTAAATCGAATTTATTATTTAATTTTTAATCTCGGGCCACTTGTGAAATAGAAAAATAATTGTATTAGTGTTAATTGGAAAAAATAGAAGTGCTCGAAAAAGTAAAATGTAGAAAAAAACGCCAATAAAATAATCGATCGAAATGTGTGTCGCCAGCATAAGACGTGTCGTAACGAGAATCGACGATGGTCTAGAAGAAATAGTATAATAAATAATATTGTTTTTTTTTTTTTCACGAAACAAGTGATTTTTACGTTCTTATTGCGTTCTGTGTTGTGCATTCAGTTATACCAATAAAACAAAATAAAATTGAAAAAAAACAAATCAAGTGAACGTTTTATTATTATTTTTTTTAATTTCAATGTACACGACGAAAATAGTATTTTGGTAATAACTAATAACCGATCCGCAATATTCTATTGCTTTTCACGGTTTATAAATCACCTTTAATTCCCTTACACGCAATTGTATAATATGTATAGGTTAATCGATTATGCCAATAATTAAAATTTGCTTAGTAAATAGACCGACGTCAATTTCAAAAACACTCTGAAAAGAAAAAAAACTAGGTTTGATTACCATGTTCGTTTTGCGTTTAGAATTCTATTGGGCAAGGCTTAATGAGGGTTAATTATACTTATCGCCCAGTAGAAAACATTGTTTCTGCATCGAAATAGCGAATAATAATATTAAATATTTTCGGATACCATTATATAAAGCCATAACTAATCCCGAGTGGTATTTTGTTTTTATAGTTCTTTATATTAATAAAGGAATAACAACTAAACACAAGTACAATAATAATTCAGAATTTGAACTTAAAATGCTTGTAAAGAAAATCGACTGCATTAGACTCAAATTTTGTTTGTTTTTTGAACCGAGTAAAATACAATTAAATGCACACAAATAGCTCAAAAATCGCCGGAATGTTTTGAACGTTTTACCACGTTTAGAAAAGGCTAGCATAAGTTTTCTGTGAACATTTCTAGTCTTTAAGATTATTTTAAAAAAAAAAATCGAAAACAATAAAATTGTTAATATCGTAAGCTTTTTCGGGTTTTATCGGCAATTAAAAAAAAAAAAAAAAAAGACTAAAAGCACACGCATCGTAGAGTCAAACTCACGCTTCGTTCCTCTCTTGTCCCGGAATCTAAAATAATATTGTCACCACAGGCCGGTAATAAGCGATATTTCTCGGATCCGGCGCCGTTTATATAGCTATGATTGACGAGCGTACAATAATAATTTATTTTAACGATCGTCGGGATTCGTTTTAATTATGTAGACAATTTTTTTTTTTCCGGTTCCTCCGTTCCGCCAGTGATCGTCTCGTGGTAAACTCGCGCGTGCACGCGACGACCGCGTGTACCTATAGGTGTACACATAACGATAACGATGATAATAATAATATCGGAATGCGATTTTCACGTGTACAATTACAATAACCGGATACATTTCCAAAGCTAATAAACAAGGTCATGTGCGTCGGACATCGTTTTTCTGTCGCCGCTGTCCAGCTGCGAAATTCGGATTATATACGTATTGTTATTACTATTATTATTATTATTATTATTATTATTATTATTGTATTACGTTTTCCGTCCGCAGAGACGTCCGTAGCTTACTTTACTTTTGGTGAGAACAAAGATGATGGGCCGGAAGAAAGGGAATCGCCGGAGATGTGAACGCGGACAGAGTGAAAGACCGGTTTCACGTGAAATGGCATATAAGGGGGTCCGGCCTACCGGATAGATTCATTTTATCGGTAACCCAGTGAAAACTCGAGTTGTGCGCAGTTTTTCGTCAGCCCGTCTTGTCGTCACCGCAGCCGCCGTCGTCGTCGTTCGCCGATAACAACAATATTTTCCCGCCATAATTTAGCTTAATTTTTTTTGTTATACTCGGTTGTATAATTTTTTCGCTCGACACTTAACTCATTTCGCAACATGAACAAGTTCGCGGTGTTCGCTGTGGTCGTGTTGGTGGCCAAATTGTCGTGCGGTTCGCCGGTATCGCAACATGGTTCGGACGGCGGCAGTACAGACATGAATAAACTGCACGTGATACACGAGGACGAACTCATCCAGAAGCTCAATACCAAGTGCAGTGCCAAGGACGTGTCCAGCTGCGTCATGCTGAAACTGGTCACCTACATGAACAAGCTGATGAAGAAGAACAACTTCGAGATCGGCGAGATGATGGAAATCGCCAAGAAGGACGACGGTAAAACAGACGTGTCCGCCGCCTCCGACGACGTCGAGGTGGTGCGCATGGATTCGGGTCGTGGATACTCCGACGAGTCGGTGTTCGGCGAAGTGATGGCTGACAAGCTCCGCAAGTACGTCCAGTCCCGGTCCCTAAAGATCAAGGTGCTGCCCGAAGCCGACTTCGTCGTGTCCACGTCCCCGGAACAGGACGGTTCCCTGAACTTCGGCATGTCGTTCCGGTCAGGAAGAGACTTGGAATCTGGTGAGCGCACGCATTTTTTTTTTTTACCCGTTCATAAATACGCGTTCTGATGTGAACATAACACTGTTTCTGGGCTGCGTATATACAACAGACCGTATCCGAGTTCATCTCAAACCGAAACGTAGTGTAGTTGATTCTAAGATATTTAGGAGTTTTATAAACCGTTGCTTGTTAGTCCGAACCTGATACCGTCCCAATGATGTTATGATATCCTAAGAGTAAACCCAAAACCCACTATCAACGAAAAACATCGACGGGTTCCGTATTTACACACCGCTTGGGCCGAACTCCGGATACGGTCTCTAAACACGCGTACGGGACGATAAAAATCATTTGTATTCAGAGGTGAACAGTAATAAATTATAGAGCGGTAGTCCTCGTCATTTGCCGCGCGCCCATAGACAAATAAAAAGCAGCCGGTACAAACAAATAGAAAGGACTACCGTGCACTAAAGACATATGATTGAGATATTATAATGACTAAACTCATTACAATATGAAACATACCTACCGCGATTTCGGTTTACATTGTCCCAATTGAATCGAATGATCGAGAGCGTAACTGTAATCCACTAGACAGGAATATTCTCATTAGTGAATTATTTTTTTATAACTAATTTTCGGATTTCGGCTTATAATTCCATAATAATTGTATACTACTTTAACGCTCGACAACTGCAAGCATTTGGGTAATAATGATATTTTGCACATTTCGAACATAATCGCGTGAAAGTTGAAAATTGTATTATTCGTCATTAACAATCGATATAAGTAGTCGGGTTGTATAAGTCTAATACAAACACGACGGACACTCGCTATAAAAAATTAAAAAAATATATACATATATGTAACTGGTGTGTTCATACACAATCAGTTGTATTCGAATGACATTAATTAATTAGTATACATAAAAAAGACAATAAAAACACCAAATGCTTTATTTTTTCGATATGTCGTTTTTTAAAGAACTGTGTAGGGTCATTCACCGTCTATGTCTATCTAACGGGCATCATAGTGAAGAATTGTTTTTGTAATTCCCAAGACAAGGATATTTTAAAATGTTTTTTTTTTTTTAATTTAAAATATTTTCGCAGAGATTTTGAAATTTTCAGGAGATCTAATCGTACTTAAAAATACAAAATAAATGTTTTACTTTTTTTTTTTGGTCAATCATCGTGGAACATTTTATAATAAAAACAAAAAAATCCTACTGTTAAAACGTACATAGGTAGTAAAAATTGTTGTTTAAAGTCTATTCACTATTGGATACGTTTTATACAGTTGAGTACTATTGGAAAACACATTTTCGCTGTACAGAAACGCCAAAATCTCTCATTGTAAAAAACGTTTTCTTATAATAATAAAGCTTTTTTTTTTAATCTTTTTACGATATAATTTATTCATATCGTATTATTTGACCACGAGTTAAAATTTTTAATAAATAGTTATATTTTCAGTAGATACGATTATTTAACTTGAATTAAAAAACCAGTATCGTTTTTTTATAATGAATTAACTTTTTTGAGACTATTTTTCTTATAATTATAAAATAATACAATTAATTAATAATTAATATTAATTGATTTAATGATTTGATAAATTTAAAAAATAAAATAAAATAAAACTAAACCATTACTTAATTTATTAACTTTTGATTATGATAAAGAAACTATTAATTATTTTTCCCTTGAAAAATACTTTTACATTTAGTAAAAATTCTTCGATTTTTTCATGTCACGCTTTAAACGATGTTGATTTTTTCTTGATGGTTCCATCTTTGAAATATTTATCGACATTTCCAGCAGTTTCATAGGTGATTTTTTTTTTTTGTCAATTTTCGTGGTAAATATTTACTGAAAATGGGGAAAAACACGATTAATACTTACTCGGCTCAGAAAGTCAGAAACATTTTTTTCGTTTGCGATGATTTATTGTTGCTTATACAGTGTATAAACTAAATCCCCCCGAAAATATGCCCCATCTTTTCCGCCATCCACCTACAACAATAGCTCGCCCGTGAACACGTATCGGCGCTTTCAATTAACATAAAATATTAATATACTTTTTTATTTACACAGTTCCACTACTCGGCTGGAGGCGAAAAAAAAACAATAAACGCTTCTAGAACCGTTGACGGTAAAAATAACCGACATTGTATCGATTTATTTATTTATTTCACCCGGTATTGTTTCAATTATACGACGGTAACTCTGATATCGTTTTAAACGTTTCCGACGACCAATCGAACTGCATTGCAACAACAATGGCGTGGCGTATAACATAATCGAAATCCCAAAATCGCACTACACAAAATTAAAACGTGCACTTGCAACCTGATATTTTATTATAAACGATCCACTGGGTTCCGCGGATGTGCGGAATACATTTTTTTTATTTATATGTTTACGATAAGACGCATATTAGCATTTACTTTTTCATAATTTCTTTGAACAACTCATAAAACAAACAGCTCTAAATTAAAAATGCCATAAATAAATGACGTTCAAGGTATAATACACTTTGCCAATTTCGGTATTGAGATTTTTGATTTCCGTCTACGTCTTGTATATAATATGCATCGATGTCAAACTCAAATACATGTATGTGCGCTACGGAAGGTCTGAAAAAAACGGCCGCTGAAACGGTACGTTTGCGACCCAGTAATAATAGCCGACGAAATAATAACACGATCTTTCGTCATTAATAATACAGGCAAGGTAAGTGCCTGTTGTGTTATTTCGTTGTTTCGCAGACGACCGCGGCGCGTGCAGTCGTCCGTCGTCTCTGGGACGTGTTCGAAAAATATTACACAGGTATCGAGATTCTCGAGAAATTGATTTCGCGCCCGTTCGGAAAGTCGTCGTTTCGTGACCAATACACAATAATATTATTCCGGTGTACCTATATATAATAATATACCCATTTAAACCGTTCGGTTTTTGAGTTGATTAAACGTTCCCACAGAATACCCGTCCGTCACATACGTCCATCGCCGTCTGTCTCGACCGTACATCAGGCCGTACCTATACCTAAATAATGTTATCGTTCTGAAATTCTCTTGCCCGCGGTATTTTGTACACGTACCTACGTGACGGGAACTAACGATTTGACACATCGATTCTCTCTCGTCAATTATCATCAAGTACACGCACACACACGCACACGTACATACATGTACAACACACATGCAACCGCAACATAGTACACAGACACACAGACACAGACGCAGACACACACACACACACACACACACACACACACACACACGCACACACACGCACTCACAACAATACACTGCGATAACTAGGTTAAACACAATGCACTTTTCTTTTCGAATTATTATATTTTAACGTTTAATTTTCGTCGACGACAATAATAGAAAACGATTATTACCCATGGGCGGGCTGCACGAAGATTCCTTATATTACGGTCGCATCGGCTACCGCGCGGTACTGAGCAGTATGTTCCTACACATATATTGCAATATTATTGCTATAAATATAACACAAATAGACGCTGTAAATTCATAGAGAAACGGTTAGAACATATTAATCAGTTTAAGTATTCGAGTGTAGGCGGTATTTCAAAAACCGTTTTGTACTCAGCCCTTCACGCGAGCGATTATGCATAATAGGTAGAATATATTATCTATACGGCTATATAAAACGGTTAGTAAACTTCTATACCAAAACAATAATAAACACATAGATCTTTCACAACGATTAGATATTTGGAAACTCCCGCGGTTTCAGTAACTATATTCTTTTTTCTCCCGATCGTCTGGCTGGTTGCCGACGCCTTCCTTCGGTGAGGTTACAAGCTGGTTCTGAAAAAAATCAAAATGTATTCATTATTAATCAAGGTTTCCACTATGTAGCTACGCCTTTTTTTATGACAAATTTGTTTATCGGATATCGTTTTGTCCTTTCTGACTTTAATTCTACGCCAAAGTTCTTGGTTTTCATTTATTCTTTGTTATTTACTCCCTTGTTTTGTTTGTTACTATTTCTGTTCATCGTGTATCGAAACAACAGTTAGTGTAATAAATTATTATTATATTTTTTTAATTCGTTACACGATTCGATGAATTTGCTGATTTGTATAAAAAACCTATACATATAGTTGTAATTTATATTGCAGTTTACTTGTTGTCAGTATGAACTTCGACTAGATATATTTACTAGATACTAGCAAACTTTGTGAGAGTTTATTCTTTCAAATAAAAAATGTCGACACTGATCACATCATATTTAGTATTAGTTCAGATAATGTGAGTAGTGTAGCAATACTTTGGACAGAAAAATGTATGACTTTTCCAGTGATTTTAAAGGCTTTGATTATGAGGATTTTAAATAATTTCGTGACATTATCGATAATTAATTATAAAAAAACAAAATAAATTGGTTTTTTGTTTTATGCGTTTTTATTAGCTTTGAAAAAAAAAAATAAAAAATAAGATACTTCCTAAAAAATTCTCGTCGAATAACCGTAACGATATCAAATTAACAATATGTTACGTATCGATTGTCCGCAGGCCGAGGCAAGAACAAGAACATGGGCCCAATGATGGCCGCCATGATGATGAAAATGGGTATGCTCAAGGTTTTGGCTTTCAAGTTCCTGGCCCTGTTGGTGGGAAAAGCCCTGCTGGTCAGCAAGCTTGCGTTCCTGTTAGCCACCGTTATCGGGCTGAAGAAACTGTTCAGCCAACAGAAGCACGTCACGTACGAGGTGGTCGCCCATCCGCACCACGAGGCGCACAGCAGCGATTCCTACAGCTCGGCCGGATGGGGTCGTTCCTCGTCGGAAGCCGCACACAACATGGCCTACTCCGGACAGACCCAATAACCGGCCGCGCATGGTGAGTGACTGGTATTTTTTCTTTTTGATTCTGGGACGACGTGCCTTCTATTTAGTTTGACGAGATTTTCGGCCCCCGCGGCGCAGACCATCGTCGTTTTCCAAACTTAGTATAATAAACGGTTAAACGGAACGACTAAAATACTTCGAAAAAAAAAAAAAAAAAAACAATATTCAACTAAGAAGTTATTTATCTCCGGACGAATAATTCGAATTTGTCTATACAATAAAGTGTTAGTCGTGAAAATACAACAGCCTACTTAACTGCGGATATTTATCCAGTTGAACAATTTTTAGTCGACAAAAGTACATAATATTAATACAATTATTATAGTTAACCGGTATCGTACTGGTAGACTGGGTCATAATCATTATGACAGACAGCTATTCAATTAGATTTTTTTTCACCATTCGATACAATTTATAAAATATTTATACAGCGATTTTTTTAACCGAATAAATCACCCGTATTACAAAAAAGTTGATTAGTTTTTTTTCTCGGAAAACACTTTTACGATTTGTAAATATGCTTTGATTTCGACGTTTCAATTTTTTCATGTATAATAGGTATAATTAAAAGATGTGGAATTTCTGCCCGACAGTGGTAATTATTATTTGAACAGTTTATCGAAATTTCCAATATAGTTACCGCCCTCTGGATATTTTTATTTTGTATTTTTATCGATTACCGGGTTACCTTTAGGCAACAAGAGGAAACAATTACTAATACCACTAAGCTCAGAATTTTTTTTCTTTTATAATAGTTTATCGTTGCGTACTGCGTATAATTTAAATTACTTTGAATACACCTGCACTATACCTTCCAAACTGCTCGCCTACAACTACTACAGTGACCTACTCGTGAGCGTTGTCGACTTTTATTTTGTTTCTCATAATTCTATTTTAAATTAATTTCATGTAATTGCGCGTACAAGCGGAAATTAGATTAATTCTTCTATCCGGGATATTTTAAAATGCGTTAAGGTACATGCGTTTAAGCAGAACTACACAAGAACAACGAAGAATAATAAACATAACGATAACTGTGCCAGAGTGCTTAACACCTGTGAAACGGTCGTTAATAGAGCTTGAATAATTAATGTGTTTTATATGTTTTTTTTTTTTTTTTCACATATAGGTTACCCCGGAAGAACGACGAACCCGAGTCCTTCCGCTACTCAATACTCACACGTCGGCGGCGTCAGCTCGTCCGACCACAAAGCCACGTTCTTTTGACTTTGTCGGAAAGCCAAAAAAAAAAAAAAAAAACAAGAAAAATTCCGTTAATTATTTATATGTATTATTATTTTTAGGTAATTTATTATTATCACAGGATTTTTATATTTAGTGTTTTTGTACACGTTCGCCGTTTTCCCTGTAGACCACCACTGTTTTATATTATAATGCATCATTATTAATTGTGAACCGGTGTATTACAGTGGATTTCGGCGTGGCGTTAAAACTGTATTTATTTAGATTGTTAATATTTATTATTTATTCGTGATCGAAAAAATGTATTATCATGATGTTTGTATTGTACGCATTTCATAGTATTAAAATGAATTCATTTTTTAATACGTGTTTTAACGCGATTTTTTTCGTCGAAGAACAACAGGAGTGAGACTTTATGTATTTATGTTTTTTTTTTTTTTTTTATGAATTAAACCGCAGACATAATATTAATATTATGATATAATATTGATGTGACACAATATTTGTATGCCCCCACGACAAAGTTACGAACAGGTTGTACTGTTGTTTTCAAGTAACACGAATTATAAACCGAATGAATACAAATAATTACAAATCGGTGAGTTTAATATAGCCGGTACCGAAGAATCAATCAGTTATAAAAAAAATTCACACGCATTCATAAGAAAAAAAAAAAACACAGGTATGATATAATTATGTATTTTTATGTATTATTTTATTGTTATAATAATAAATATAATTTTCCAAAAAGAAAAAAATAATAGTTTATACATTTTTTAATTTTAAGAAAAATGTGATATTGATCAAAATCCTTACATAATAATCGTAAAAGAAATTACCTATAAACACGATCATAAATAAATAAATATATAATTTAATTAATTAAGTATCGATACGCTGTAGGTAAGTAATAGTTTATCGAAAGTTTCCGCATTCGTGAAAACGTTTTACGCCTATAGAATACGATAACATCTGAAACAATGTTACACTAATGCATTAGTTACTTTCGTTACGTTCTTTCGAGTGGGGATGGGGTATTGTAGAATTATGTACACTATAAAAAAAAAACATACGCTTTAAATCGCATCACATCATATCATAAATGCCTCGAAATCTAACTTAAAATAATACAAAATATAACTATATAATGAAAAAACTAAAATATTAAAAATATCAACAAAAGTTTTATAATATTTAATGAAAGGGGAGCCAAAAACAAGGCTGCGTTCCCTATTTGTCTTTAAGAATTAAAACATCAGAAGATGTTTGAAGAAAAAATGACGTAGTTAGCAGGGTAATAAAATCGAAGAGGTCTTTTCAGGATAAAAATCATTTACTGATCACAAGTAGTGTGACCCTACAAATAAGAAAAAGTTCTTGAAAGTGTAAGTGTGCGTGGCCGTAAAACTTGGACATTAAATGCTATAGAAGAGAAAATATAACTGAAGGCTTTTAAAATGTAGAACCAGCTTAAGGATCAATGGACAGAAAGAAAGACAAACTTGGCAGTATCGAACAGAAAAAAGGAAAATCGAGAACTTTGGTGCTGATTAAAATCAGATTGGACAAAATAATAGAGGAATTTACTGCATCACGAAAGTTTGACGAAAAATCATAGAACTCATAAAAGTCCACACTGACAGAAACTAATAAATTATTTGTATGTTCTATGAAAGTCACTGCAAAAGTTTTAAATTGTAATTAACTGATTTAATCTTAAATTGTTATCTTTATATTGTAAGCTTGTATGCTTTGTTCATGGACAAAATTTTACTAGTCTTCAATATTTCAGTGCGCACCATAGAAAAATAGTATAGTCATCACATGACTAAACTTAATATTTACTAATAGACTAGCGTGATCAAGTATGCTATAAATACAAATTTGTGTGGCCTTACAGGAACCAAAACTTAAAATAAAACCACCTCTATGTAAAAAAAAATGATCAGACTCCTCTAAAGAAAAATCCTGACACTACGCCACTGGATAGAATAGTGGGTTAAAGGATTTAAAGGCATAATTAAGTTACGAAAGGAAGGCATGGAGATCTGCAATTAACCAATAAAATTTAAGAAGAGAATAATAGGGTTTGATCCATTATTCTTATCTTATCTATAGATCTCTTCTTAGCGACAACTTTATACGTTGTTACGTAGAGGTGTGTACTTCCGCGTATATATATAATGTTATCGTTTGCGAATTACTCCATTAATTTTCTTCTTCTTAATACATGTTTTTTTTTTCTGCTGCACTATACCTGACCACCAATGCCGGATTTGACCAGGTCGTTCAACTGGTTGCGATCTATTTTCGGTCTGTACGTGACCGGCCTGATGTGCGAATAGTGGGCCAGCAAGTCTTCGTCTTCACCCGGCAGCTTATCAGGCGGAAGGAACGGCTGTTGCTGGTTTTGGTGTTGGTACTGGTCACTGTATGGGTCTTGAACCTGGTACTGGTCGTGATGCTGGTACTGAAAGAGGTTGGGCTGGCCGGGTGGCGGCGGTTGTAGGTGATTATGCAACAAGTGGTTTTCGTATGACGATTCGTCGGCGGGATGCTGTTGGTCGGCTGCGACCGAAACGAACATAACCGGCGGTTGCAACGGCGGCGGTTCCCACTTGACCACCTTTTTGGCCGAGGTATGTTTTATTTCCAACATTTTGGACGCCAGCAAGTAGACGCCGATTAGCAGCCCAACCTTGGTGGCAAAAAGCGTGTAGATTATGAACAGCTTGATAGCGGCCAAAGTCTTAACGGTCATCATGCTGACGATGGCCGAACCGATCATTGCCATGGCCATTTGTCCGGGTTTGGGCTTTTTACCACGTCCTGCGCATCATAAAACAAATAGAAAATACATTTCGGCCATTCTTCCGGAAAATATTATAATTTTAAATAGGCATACTGATTTTGTCGACAGTGGCGTAAACAGGACTTATCAATAAGAGAAGGGTATTAGAAGGGGTTTAGGGATTTACAACTTCTTTCACCTTACCTAAAACTAAAAAAAAAAGAAGCAGTATGGGGTTACAACACTCAAAACTTTTCCCTGGCTACGCTACTAGATGTCTAGTTTAAAACGGTGTCCGAGCGTAAAAAACACGAATTCCATGATTCCATATTCGAATTTTAAGTGTCAATGGCTCACCAAAATCAGCGGCGTAATTTGAGCAGGAGAAACTTGGGTTTTCCTCCAATATAACTTTTAGCATTGTCTTAAGTCGGCATTTTGGCTGATTTCTGGCTCTTGGGCATGGACAAAAAAATACTTAAAATATTAAAAAATGTTTCACATAATACACAAGGACCATAGGTATCGTTTGGTGGAATTTCATCATAGATATAAGTAATCAGATGTAACGTAATAGGTATGCACCTATTTCTTTGTAAGTACGAAAATCTGAAATATCTAAAATTAAATGAAAAACCAAATTCAAATGAAACGAGAAAACTATTTTATCGACAATTGACTCGTTTCCTTGTCATTCAATTTACCAAATTTAGTCATTTTTGTCCTAGTCTACCAACACAATGCAATTACGCTACTGTCCGACATTCGTTTTCAGTTACGTACTTGTATTTAACAATCTTTCTAACTACTCCATCATGTGTTTCTGCACTTCTTTAATTGATACCGTAATCATGTCAGATAGTAATTCATTTTAGACAACTATAAATAAAACGCGTGGAAATTAGTAGGTTTTACGCTCGTGTCGGTTTGTTTAACCCGGTTTGTAATGTGTTTTAAATTTGAAGAAGACGAATCATCGCGTATTTTATAAAAACAAAGGAACGTATCAACCGGATTCAACTTTTAAATTGTAAATTTGACATTTTTCTATTTTTAATTGGTAAATATAACCCGTGTTTTATTTGTAAATATATTTATACGCACTAATAAAATATGTATGTAACCTAAAAACTTTTAATGCGTTATTTTTATAACTTCTGATATTACGATCAAATTATACTATCGTAAATAACGTTATTGTAATAAAATTAGTACATAGATTTTTAGCATTACTTTTTAAATATAATTATTTAAGCAACACTATTAACCGAACTCCGTTCAGAATGGTATTTTGTTAGCAATGATTAATCGTTGCGTACAGATTTACGAGTACATTAAATTGTCCTCTCTACCTTTTCAACTTTTCACCTACAACAGTGGCCCATCCATTATTTGGGAAAACTCCTGGGAAAATCAAAAACCACCTCCGTAAAGTACCGCCCCGGGAAAATTCCGTTTTAGAAAAAGTGGTTTATTTGATAGTTCGGAGCAAGATTTCTGGTAGAATTTTTGTACGCAGTATGAAAAAAAAAAAACATCTCTGTAAAACCAATACATCCGTCACTACACTCAGAACCTAAACAAAATCTCTGTAAAACAACAACCAGTCCTCTCAGAATGTAAAAACCGACAAAGAAAATGTCCCGCGACCCGTTACGATTATTGTCATCCTTATCGCGAAACTCACCTTGGACGGCGGTCATCTGCAGCGTGGACAGAGCACGGCTGACCTGCTCTGTCCACGCGCCGACAACACCGCTGCCGGCCGGCAGCGGGTACCGCGTGCGGCTCTCGACGGCCTCGACGAACTGCGACATGTCGGCCAGACTGGGTCCGTAGGCCGCGACACCCGGGCCGGCCGTCAGGAAGGCGTCCGGCGGTGCGGCGGCCAAAAAGGCGTCCGTCGGGCGGGCGGCGCGCGAGGCCTCGGCAAAGGTCTGCGGGATGTCGTTCCGGCCCGCGGCGGCGGCGGTCGGCCCGCACGAGCACAGCGCCGCGACGGCGGTCAGTACCATCGCGGTCGGCGGCGTCCCGGGAATAACGTCGCGTCGTTTCGCGGCCATTGTTACCGCGGGCCCGGTCGGATCGCGTGTGTTGCCCCGGTTCGGCGGCCCGGCCGTTTTTATAACCGTTCCGGCCCGCGATCGCTGCACGCAAAACTCCGTTGACCGTGCAACGATACTGCGGCCGGGCATTTAATTCCGCCGTGTGTTAATTTTAACGAGTGTGTTACAGTAATTATTATTGCAAACGCGCCGATTATAACTGACAGCCGCACGCGTACTCGGGTTGGGGGAATCGCCCACTCCGCGGGATATCTGTCGACCGTCGGAAAACATCGCGATAACGGTAGTCATCGTGCCTACTAAAAATACTATTGCAAACGTCAAAACGAAAAACAAAAAAAAAAAACGCGGCGTGGTCGCGTACACAAATGTCATGGGCCACGCAGCCGATATTTAAAGGGTCGCGTAACGTAGGCGATTTTGAAGAAAGTTTTGAAAAAAGTCAAAATCGGTCGATATTCGATAAATGTTCGAATGTTTTGAAGTGCGTCCACTCATTTTAAAACGATTCCAGTGTAACCGTAAAAATTGACCCCCGTGATGATAACACCCCCACCTCCCCCCCGGTAAAATATCACTAGCGACCGTCTTTCTCCCGGTAAGTGTCAACAAGAGAAGTTAGTTAAGACGGTCAATAGTCAATTGGCTGTACTAAAAATAGTATGTAAACGGTGGAGTTTACGTTATTTTCCCAGTTTACAAAACCGTACCGGCGGAATTTACATGTGGACCATTGATTCGTTCTTATGATCTTTTATAATGCATTGTAAATGATTGTTATCTTTCGGGTACCTAGACGAATATTGGATACGTTTTTTTAACCTAAACAAATAACCAAATAAATATAATATAAGCACATAGTGATTTGTTCACTTGCTAGAGTTACGGGGATCAGTACAAATTATGTTGGTTATTTAAATAAAATGATTAAAAATCAAATTGCACGTAAAATGGTCGCGTAATATTAGATTCTGAGCGAAGCGAGGAATGTATTGGTTTTACAATGATTTTAGATTTTTTAAATTTTTTCTACCGTGTACACACATTTTACCAAAAATCAGAATAGGGTTTTGATTGCAATGAACTGCAAGGGCTACCTGAGAAAACCTCAGTTGAGAAATCGAGCCATGAGTATAAAAAGTACGCTATTGTTACCACGAGGCCATTACGCGACGGTTGCTATCAAAAAAAAATTACGAAGTGAATTTTATTGCGATTAGCAAACCCTATGCGTCTCAAATTGAATAAACATTTAAGTAGTAACTACTTGAATGTTTAATAACTGTTATTAATGCAGTCAGTGCAGATTAAGTCAACACTTCAAATACTTTTAATACTTTATAAGGTACCACAATGTTTATGGGACACTCTGTACATAATATACGGCTTATATTATAATTTCTTATACTAATTTCATTTGAATTGGTGGCGTGTGGTATTAAACCGTGAGCACAAACGTCCTGCGGATTTTGAATACCGAACTGCGGTTAAAAACGCATTATCCCGTTGCACCAAGCCAAACGATAAATTACGAACATCTATGTATTGTCAACTCTGTCTCCCGACACCGGTGTTCGCGAGTAAATGATATGTTTTATTCATAACATTTTTTTTATTTGCATAATATGTACCTACCTTCATATTATTACATACGAACACGCGACGTTTTCACGTTCAAATAAGTGTTGAATTTGACTAACTACTTATTATTGCTTAAACATTATTATTATAGATTTTAGTTTGCTTTTATCGAGTACAATTGGTTAGACAAATATTTATAGCTTTTGTAGACAGTGCTTAACACGAAGATATAGGACATCCAAAATAATTTTTATTCTGGTAAATATTTTTAAGTTTTTTTTTAATGCGATTTCTCTATTAGATTCTGAACGGATCGAGGAATGTATTGGTTTTACAATGATATTTTTTTTATATAAACAATTTTTCTACCAGAAAGCTTACGCTAATTATCAAATATAGCATTTTTTCTAAAAGGAAAATATGGGAGGTTCTTCATAAAAGGTAATTTTTTGAAATTCTCATTAATGTTAGAGATAATGAGAAAAACCTGGTTTTTTAGGTTAAAAAAAATTCGAAAGATTAAAAATAAGGTTGTCATTGGCAACCGTTTTTATTTATTAAGTTATTAATATTTTAATATTTTTAAAAAATCATTGTTGTCATGGAAACGTATATTGTTAAAAAAGCAATACTATGGACCGAGTCATATTAAAATAAAATAAATTTTAATTTCAATACATTCTTTTAATTATTAATCTTTATATTCTATACTTAATTATCTCTATCAACTAAACTCCGGTAAGAATCGTTTTTTCGTTAGCAATGGCTTATCGTTGTTTACAGATAAACATTAAATTTACTTCTGTATCTAATGGCGTAAATTTGCTTTAATTTCTGGTGGTACAGAAAAATATTCCAATTAATTAGTCTAAATGGTACTTTTGGGAACTAATTTTTTAATTTTCCGAGCGGTTTTCATAATATCTGGGAAAAACCAGGATAAAACGTAAGAAAATGGGAACTTTAAGCAAATAATGCATTTATTATATTTCAAATTTGTTATTTGTTGTAATTTAATTTAAAAAATTCGTACAGACTTAAAATTTAACAGAAAACTTATATTTGAATTTTCTAGACGTGGTAAGATTTTCAAAAAATGTAAGCCATTTTTGGGCTGTTTATAGGGATTTAAATTTTATGAGATTTGTACGTAATTTTTATTTGGTAGGCACTGAGTGGTAAAATTGTTAGACTTAACAAAAATGCTTCAAAGTTAAACAGGAGGTTCATTAAGAGTCTTACTTTATAGAAAAAAAAAAAAAAAAATTTAGTTAAATGTAGTATTTTTTTGTATAAGGAAATTTTAATATCAAATTTTGACGAAAATCGTTCAGGTAAAAAATAATGTAGAATAAAACTTATTTTTTAATTATTTTTTTCTTACATACAAATACGACATTACGAACATACGAATATTGCCGATTTAAGAACGATGATGAAGTGAGAATTAAGTGGACTGACTAAGTTTCAAAATTATAGCTTTTTAAAGTTCTGATATTATGCGGATATTATACGTTATGTTAAATAACTCTATTATTATCATTAAAGCATATTTTCCACGGTCTAATGGATATTTATGCCTATTATCATCCGAGTTCAAACTAGTGTGTCGAAAATAATTTTTTTTTTCCGTTTTACCTAAACAAGGAACGAACAATTGCGTTTTGGATGTACCTAGAGACTCAAGCAATCGCTCCCCCGGACTAATTTAAACGCAAAATACCCCTCGATTTGTTGTGCAAACTTTCCTGCCTGCCAAAAATCTTGCTCTGATGTATCAAGTGTAGCACCTTTTCTGAAAGCAAATTTTATCTCTATGATAATTTAGAGAAGTCGTATTTTGATTTTTCCAGTGATTCTCATATCATCTGGGAAAAATCAGAATAAAATGTCGGAAAAACAGAGAATGTACGAAATGTAGCTATTAGTAAAAAAATATTATGGCCTTTTTTCTCTGTATAACTTTTTTTCTATCAATTTCGCTCCGATTCAAAATGAAAACACTTTTTCTGAAATGGAAAGTAATTTAAGGGGTTAATTTTTCGATTTTCCCAAGAGTTTTCTCAGCAAATGTGAAAAACCGGGTAAAACCATGGGAAAACCAGGAAATACGGGAAAACCAGTGCAATATTAAATAAATATTAGTAAAGTAAATATTTGTAATGCCTATTTTATTAGTTACCATAGTATCACATATTATATATTGTTAGCAAAGCATCACTATCAACTGAACAAATCGTTTGTTCGTTAGCAATTGTTTATTGTTGTATACAGATACATATTAAATTACCTATAACAGTGGCTGCACCCGTCTTCATTATCCTAGGATGTATTTTTTTAACTCACCAATCCTTCAACTTCCTTTGTAAATTTGCCTTATGAGCATACGTTTAATAAATGCAGATGATCTAATATCAATTATATTATAAGACGTCTTCATAGTATTTGTATTAATATAAAATATTACATTGCAATTATAAAATCGTGATAAAAATATGATTTTAAATAAAAATAGATACATCTATAGATACATAAATCTATAGATACATCATAGATCTTGTCGTCTCAATTAAACTTAAAAACAGGATGTTCTTTAAAAAATCTGTACCGTCCTGCCTAAATCGGATCTGTTCACACTAGCCAAGTCTTAATTGGTTATAACACCTATTATTGTAAATAAATTTCAAATGAAAAACGATTTAATTATTGTCATTCATTTTAAGATAGAAAAAGACTATAAGGCATTTAAATAAAAAACTAAAGCAGTGAAGCCCAAAACATAAACAACTAAACAGCTGTGAGAACGTGAAATAGAGTTATTTAAAATATTAAAAAGATTTAAAACAATATGTTATCAGAATATAAATTATAAAAAAGAAAGGTAAGATAATGGGGACGGGTGCAGGTATTTTAACTGGTATAGGTGGGAAGTTGGAAAGGTAGGATATAGACAGGAATTTAATATATATTTGTAAGTAACGATAAACTATTGCTTACGAAGAAACGATTCTGAGTGAAGTTCAGTTGATTTAAATTAATTAAATAGGCTTTATATATTTTCTTTGATAATATTTGTTTCATGTTGTACCGATTTTTTCAAAGGCGGTAATATATTAGAAATAATACCTACATTTCTTATATTTTCCCGTGTTTTCCGTTTTTTAAGTTTGATGAGAAAACTCCTGAGAAAATCGAAAAATGACTTCCTTAAAGTACCTTCCCAAGTCGATTTCCTTTCAGAAAAGATTTTATAGTAATTCCGAGCAAGTCTTTTTGTAGAAAAGTGGCGCAATCTTTGTAAAACCATAAGCTTCTTCGCTCCACTCAAAATCCAAAATGAAAATTAATTTTAATTACATTGTAAAATAACAATTATGAATTAAGATTATCTGAAGAGAGTTCAGTTATATACAATA